GTTTCTATCTCTCTCTCCTGTCCCTTCCTCTCACTGAAATAAATAAAAACATTTTAAAAAAAGAAACACACAAACTCTGAGAATGAGGGCCCGAGGTGGCTGTGGGGGTCTGCCACATCGTGGACCCCAAGGAACCAGCCCTCCCAGGACTCCCCACCTCGCACAGTCCTCTCCTTACATCTGGGCTGGGGCTCGGACTTGCTTTGACAAGAGAATTCAGGGCAAGTCGTGCTGGGCCAGGCCCAGGGCTGAGCCCTAAAAGGCCGGGAGCAACTGCTTTGTGCTCTTGGGAGCCTGGAGCAGTGCAGCTGCCCTCACAGGAACTACTCCCCAAAGGGGTGCCTCTGGGAAGGGAGAGAAGCCCAGCCCGGCCGCCGTCCCAGGCCCGCAAGCTCACAGGGACCACCGGCCGGGCCAACCCACGGAACGGGGAGAAATCATAATAAAACCATGAAAGGCTGCTCTCCACGACTAGGTTCTGGGTGGCTTTCTACAGCAATAGGTAAAAAGAGGTCTTCTTTGGGACAAGGGACATATAGGAAGCTAAAGAGCCTGGGCCAGACAAAGGCTCAACCTTACTGCCGTGGTTGTCAGGCCCGGGCCTGTTCGCACACCGACTGGATAAAAGAACCAGTGGCTAGTACTGATGCGGAGCGCAAGGCCGCGTCTCTGACAATCCCGGACTCCCCGCCCCAGCCTCAAAGCAATGAGTTAAACGAAACAGAATAATGTGTAAAAGGTACCATCCAGCCTGGCGCTTGGGAAGCACTCAAAAATGCTTATGAGTTCCTCCGTGCACTGTTTAAAAATTGATTTGAGAGAGAGAGAAAAGGGGGGCGGGGGAGAGAGGGGAAAGAAACATGGATCTGGTGCTCCACTTAGTGTGCATTCACTGGTTGATTCTTGTATGTGCCTGACCGGGATCAAACCCCCAACCTTGGCCTATCGGGACGACACTAACCAACTGAGCTCCCCGCCAGGGCCCTGCGTGCACTCTTAAAGCAGTGACGGGAGCACGGACATACCCATTCGGAGGCACTGTGGTGAACAGTTAAGATTGTTCTGGAGCCGAAACCGGTTTGGCTCAGTGGATAGAGCGTCGGCCTGCAGACTGAAAGGTCCCAGGTTCGATTCCGATCAAGGGCGTGTGCCTGGGTTGCGGGCACATCCCCAGTAGGAGATGCGCAGGAAGCAGCTGATCGATGTTTCTCTCTCATCGATGTTTCTAGCTCTCTATCTCTCTCCTTCCTCTCTGTAAAAAATCAATAAATTATATTTAAAAAAAAAAAAAGATTGTTCTGGAACCGAGCAGTCTGGGTTCCAATCCTGGCTCCGACATCCACGAATTGTATGAGTACCGACAACCTACTCAACTCTTCGGTGCCTCAGAATGAGGCTAACAGTGCGGGCCCCACAGGGCTCTTAGGGTTAAGTGAGTTGACATTAAGAGGTTAGAAGGTGCCCGGCAGGTGGTAAGGACTAGGTAATGGTTAGGGTTGCCCTACATCTCGGGTTCATTCTATTACTCTTAGCTTCTACGCTCCAGTAGTCAGAGCATTAACCCTGAAAGATTTCAAAATGGAGAAATTATCAATCAGGATAATTAAATGCTGTTTTTAGTCTCTTTTCTCTTTTTCTAGATTTCTACCCAAAAGAGTCAGATCCAAACTCAATAGTCTGTGGTGAAGTCTTAGAAAAGCTAGCAACTCATTGTGAGAAGGGAACCAAGAAAAGTGACAAGTGACGTGTGTGCACAATTACAAAGCAAACATGCTGAGACTGAGACGCGGGGGTGCTGAGGAGAGCAGGGGGCAGGGCGTGTCGCCCAGGCCTTAGCCTTCGGCTTGGGGCTTGGGGACCCTCCCCTGTATAGGGCTCCCATTACCCGGCCCTGGCCTGCCGCACCCACCACCGGCCCCACCCCTGGGGGCAGGAGGAGTAAATGAGACGGAACATCCCTAAGGCGCTGGGCAGAGGTCAGGGTCTCTCTCTCTCCTTACAGTATCTCACTTTGTGCAATGAGCTCTTCCATTTCCGAACATTTCAAATCAGCCAGGACTCCGTTCCTGCCGGCCAGCAGGGCCCCTACAAGGACCTTTCATGAGCTCTAACAAGAAGCAGATTTTCTCTAAGAAACTGAAGAATCGGCGCTCCTCAGACAACTCTCCAAAATAGCTCAGTCCATTCAATAGACTCCTCTTTGGAAACAAAACAAAAAAGACTCGACCGCCGCCTGCACCCCAGCCCACGGGTCGCTGCTGCGGAAGACAGACAGGCACAAAGGCGCGCGCAGGCCTCTGATGCCCATGGGGGCGGAGGACCGGCTGCTGGGACCCCAGGACTCCCTCTTGTCTGTTCTGACCCCCTCCCCGGTTTCTACGCTTTACAAAGGGCTTAGAAGTTGTATTTCTGGTACAAGCGACTCTTCCAGCCACCGCTGGGTTGGGCCAGATTTAGCCTGAGGATCGGCGGGCGACCGAGCCCACGCAGTGCCTGCAGGGAGATGCCAGGCTGCCCCCGTTCCTGACTGGCCCCAGGGCTGCGGGCTCGGCCGGAGGGCTCTACTTGTGATAAAGGGTCTCCCCTCCTCCAGCCCTTGTTCTAGGGGACAGGCTTGGAGGCAGCTGAGGGGCGAGAGGGTCCCGGGCTGGTCCCAGTAGAGGTGAGTGATAACCAGGGTCTCCACAGGAGGGAGGGAGAGGGAAATGAAGGGCCCTGGACAGGAGCCGCGAGGAGATCCTGGGACCACCTGGCCCTGGCCTCCCGGGGCTGCTGGGAACCGGAGCTCCCGCGTCTGCCTGGGGTTAATGCTTCAGGGTCAGCAGTACAGACGGGAGGTTGCTGGTCACAGCGAGGACACCGGGGGAGGTTGGCGGCCAGCCTGCGGGCCCCTCAGCGCAATCAGTCCAGCCACTCCCACCCAGGTCGACCCCCACAGGGCTCTGGGTGCAGTACCAGGACTACTGCCGACTTCCGAACACTCACAGGCACACTGCCCTGGGCTGTTCTGCTGGTCCCCTCTCTGTCCCCCAGTGATGGGGAGCTCTGGAGGGGAGGTACCCCACCACCCGACTTTCTAAGGTGAGAAGCCTCCCTTCCCTTTCTCCCCCCGCAGGTGGGATTCACACCAACGAGGCAGGGCTGGGGCCAAAACACAAAACCCCAGCGGGCCTCCCGACCAGCGTCTCGGCCGCTTGTATTTACAAAATCCCCAATCACTCGCCTCTACTGGGACCAGCCCGGGACCCTCTCACCCCTCAGCTGCCTCCAAGCCTGTCCCGTCCTGAGGCAGACTGGCAGACTGCTCCCCGCGGCTTGGCTGCTGCCCCCGTCTGGAATGCCCTCGCCCGCCCTGTGCTCCCATCACCCGACCCAGGCCTGAGCCAGCAACTGTCCACTGCTCCTGGCTCCCGGGGGGCGGGAGCCCCAGCAGTTCCGGAACAGTGCTCTGAGGGCAGCATCCTGGTTCCCGGGGGGATGAGAGCCCCAGCAATTCCGTAACAGTGCTCTGAGGGCAGCGTCCTGGGTCTCGGGGCCCCGGTCCCAGGCTCTGCCCAGCACAGGGGTGTAAACAAGTCTGCTTGCGCCCAACGTGAAACACGGGGGCAGTGAGGTGTCTGCGATGAACACGCTGCAGGTCTTACTTCCCTTCAGAGCCCCCAGGCACCCGAGAGGACTCGAAATGCAGGCTTACTGCACAGACATGTGGATCGGGAACTGCTTCCCTGCGACGGGTCAGGGTGGCCACAGCCTTGAACCATAAGCCGCCCGGTCCAGGATGTGCAGGCTGGGCCCGAGGAGTGCGAGTGGGTGTGGGCCAGCACTGAGGGGGTGGCAGGGTGACCCGACTCAAGGGTGATGTACTTGGGCCCCAGCCAGAAACACGACTAAGCCCCTTGGTCTGACACCCACCGAGGTGCCTTTTGGCAGCTACAGCACCGCAGCAGTGACGGCTACGATTAACATGACGACCAGGTGCCAAGCAGGTTACACGCATCGGCAAAGCCAGACAGCCGGGGGGATTCCTCCAGCGTGTAACCATGTGACTACCAGCAGCGTGCCGTGCTCCATGCCAGACGGGAGGATGCAGTGAGACACAGCCCCCAGCCCGGGATGTCATCGTTTGTGGAAGGAAACAGACGGAAAAATAGGCCAGTAAACACAGAGTGGGAGACACCATCCCACGGACATTAACCCCGGGCCCTGCGTCAGGACGTGTGGGCGAATCCACAACCACAGCCATATTATTTTGTACAAATTACTTAAATTCCCTAAATGCTCCTCTCCTCATCGGTAACAGAGATTAATAATACTTAAATTGAAGCCTAACCAGGGCAATTTACATAAAATGCTTACCTTGGGATGAATAAAAATAAAATTAAGTAAATGAATGATGGTTATTGCTCTTTTCGTTAACCGCACGATAATTAGGTAGAAGGCACAGATTCAGAGCATGGCATCTCCCTGTATTTCTAACTTGTTCTCACGAATGCACCTTCGAAACACTCAACCCTGAGGTCCCTTCGCTGCACTGATTCGTGACTGGAGGGTCGCCGGGGTGACCTTGTAACTTATTGCCCAAACCAGGGCACCTGTGAGAGTGGGCAGAACAGGAACGATTGGTAATCCCACTGGGATGACAGGGTAAACCAGGTGTACCACTCTGAGCAGGAGGAACTGCTGATCACTTAGTCCATCATGCACAGACCAAGTTCAGGGACAAAGTCAGCAGCCCTCACTGGGCATCCTTTCTCCCTTTTGCCAAAAGTTTTGGGAGGTACCACCAATATCGAGACCAGGCCCAGCTAAACTCCGACCTAGATAACAGCAAGCAACTGCACCCCCAAATCTCTAAGTTAGGACAGTCCATGTCCACAACTCCACCCCACCCTCCCCCCACACACACACAGCTCTTCTCAAAACCTGAGTTAGAGTCAGCCCGGGCCCTGGCACCTGTCATCGATCCTCAGTAGCCGAAGACTCCCGGATGCCCCCCTTACCTGAGGTGCCCCGCGCTGTAGAAGCGGGACTCGCCGTCGGTGGAGCGGACCACCTGCAGCGAGAACACAGGCTGCAGCTGCCTGAGCTCCAGCAGGACGATGGCCAGGTAATGGATGAAGAGCAGCGCATCCACCAGCGAGACCGCGTATTGCACGATGCCCTGGTAATTCCGGTCCCGGGAGTCCAAAATGCGGACCCCGTAGAAGAGCCAATAGGAAACCACAAAGAGGAAGATGAGGACCAACAGTAGGGCCCGGAACACGAACACCCGGGGCAGGTCGGCTCTCTGCTTGCGGAAGAAGAGGGCCCAGGTCCCGATGAGCAGGATGAGGAGTTTGAAGGCCACGGAGATGAAGAGTCCCTCGCAGATGGTACCGCAGGGCTCCAGCTGGTCCCGCCACAGGATCGGGGGCAGCAGGATGAAGGCGATGGGGGTGAGGAAGACTAGGAGTCCGAGCGCCGCGGCCACGGTGAGGCCCAGGTAGCGCTTGCAGTCCAGCCCCACGCTGTCCTCCAAGTCCTTGCTGATCCTGGCGATGTCCTCCTGCGAGATGCTGTGCTCCGAGGTGCCGGTGATGGCCGTGGTGGTCTCCCCCCAGTTGTCATCCTGACGGGAGAAAACAGCCAGGATGCAGAGCCGCACGCAGCGGGTCATTCGCAAAGGCCCCCTGCGGACACGGTGGGTGGGCGGGAGGTCCCACCCGCAGAACCGACCCGCCCGCCTGGGCTTCCTAGAACATTGAAGCTTAACGCGTTCAATACAGGACTTTTTAAACTTTAACAATCATCACTGACCTTTCTCAAAAGGCACTGTATCTATTTACAAACAGAGAGAATGTAATATGACCTTTTCGTTGGCTTGTCTGGGTGACTCTTATGCCATGATTATCACCCCCTCCCTGTTGGAGTCCCCTGAGAGGCTTGGGGGGGCCTGGGGCTACCTGTTCTGCACTAACCAATCCCATTGCTTGTTAGACTAACACAGGAGGGCCCACCTGTGGCACAAGGAGAAAACCTTCCTCCCGTTCTCCTCCACTCATGCCTGGGTCACGAAGGCTACAAGCCCACCTTCTGGAAGTGCCCTCCGGCAGCTCACCCAGCGGAAGGCATCGAAGGGAACTTTCCTTGCTCGGATCTAGGCTTACCTGCAGCGAGGACACACAGTTTTTGGAGCTCCATGACGTTTCCAAGGCCCATTTAATAAATACCGGCGCTGAGCACTCCCTGGCAACGCTTCTCAAGGAACAAGCTAAGCAAATCCAAGCGACTCTGGCCAGGGCAGCTAGACCACCTCCCACGACACACGTGCTCCGGGCAAGCTGAACCTCAGGGCCCGGGGGTACCAGGATCTTCACGGCGTGCCTGCCTTTTGCTTTCTTGCTTTCTCTCTTTTTAACTCTGAGGTGGTTTCTAGTTACAGCCAAGAGTCATCATTGAACAAGACCCAGTTGTCAGGATTTTAAGCAATTTTGCTATTTCGCCGGCAACTCTGACTCCACCCCGAAAAGCAACAGAGAAGGAGGCAATGAAAAGCCACATGGAGTCCAGGGGTGGGCCTCAGGGGTTTGTGTGTGGGATTTAACTGGGGAAAAAGTCAGACGGAGGGAAATTAATGTGTAAGACACCAACTTAAAAAAAAATCTAGTTTAACAGCTGAATCAGCAAGATAGAGCTCTCAGGACTGAACAATAACCTCTAACCTAGTAAGGATAAGAAATTGGATTTATGAAATACACAGGCCACGGCAAGGAGCGGGGTAGGGGGCAAAGGGCCTGTGAAGAGACAGTTCCTCAGTTTGGAAAGCGCCTGGAGCCCACACCATGAGGGAAGGGACCTTTTAAGACGAGGAAGCACCCAGGACTCTCAGACATCACTGGAGGAAGCATACGGCGCACGATCGCTCTTGAAAACCAGCCTGGCGCTTCCATATACATTTAAATATATGTTACACTGTATGGCCCAGCAGCTCCACTTCCAGGTTTTTATCAAAATAAATGAAAACATATGTCCACAAAAGACTTGTACGGGAATGTCCTTCAGTTTTATTCATCGGAGCCCAAAAATGGTGCAATCCAAATGCCTGTCGGTCAGGAGAACGCATAACAAATTGTGGGACATTTGTACCCTGAGACACGACTCAGCAAAAATCCTGAAGGAGGAACTGCGGAAACACACCGCAGCGTGGAGAAATCTCCAAATCAAAAGACTGTGATTCCAATTACATGAAATTCTAAAACAGGCAAGACGAATCGACAGGGACAGAAATCAAAGCCAGGCTTGGAGAGGGGGGAGGGGGAGACAGGGAAGAACATCAGAGAACTTTCTAGATCAGTGATGGCGAACCTATGACACTCGTGTCAGAGGTGACATGCGAACTCATTTTTTTGGTTGATTTTTCTTTGTTAAATGGCATTTAAATATATAAAATAAATATCAAAAATATAAGTCTTTGTTTTACGATGGTTGCAAATATCAAAAAATTTCTCTATGTGACACGGCACCAGAGTTAAGTTAGGGTTTTTCAAAATGCCGACACACCGAGCTCAAAAGGTTCGCCATCACTGTTCCAGAGCAATGGAAATATATTTATCGATAGGAGTATGGGTTATATGGGTTTTATTCAGCTCTTAAAGTTTACCAAACTGTACACTTTAGTCTGTTCATGTCTCTGTGTGTAAATTCATTTCAGTTTTTAAAAAAGAAAAAAAAATCACAAGCCGGGGGGAAATTCAAAGATGGCACCTTGCTTTCGCACCAGGTGAGTTCACGGGCTCCCTAAAATAGCTGACCTGACTATGCTCTTAGTGAAGGCGCCGCGGGACTCCACGCGGTGTACGGGCCTAGTCTTCGGTTGACACTCAATGCTGAAACCATGATCAGCGTCTTGCAGTCCTTTTGTTGGCCACCACACTCTGATTTAGCTCCTCACCTTTTTTTTCCTGCCAAAGCATCGCTAACTAAATCCCTGTCCATGTTAAGAATGTGTGCACATCTGAGCCTAAAAAACGCAGATGGCTAAAGGGCTGTCTGGTTCAAGTTTGAGGTTCTTAGAACAGAAAGGATCGAAGACCCTTGGATCCACGTTCCTAGAGTTTCAGTGAAGATGCTGAGGCCCACCTAGGTGATTGCCAAGGTCACACAGCAGCTGAGTACAGCCTCCCAATGGCCGTTTCCATGCATTTCCCATCACGTCATCCTGGTGTCAACACCAACAGCTTCCCAATGGAGCTACAAGGCGTAGAGAAGCTGCAAAGAAGTGCCTTCGCACGGGCCATCAGCACCTCTGGATCCACATCCAGAAGGGAACAGACCCCCTGTGGCACCGAGGGGGGTCCACTCAGGAGTGGCCCCATCCATCCAACCATCCCTCTGACCCTCCAGCCCCCGGCCCTCCCAGAGCCACGGCGGGCAGACATTACTCATCATGGAGACACCCCACCCTCATCCCGAAGCGGCAGCTCTGGGTCCCGAGGGCACCCTGTCTGCTCTGAGGAGCCCGTCTACCTGCTCAGAAATGCACATCTGTGCAACCCCACATGCACAGAGACTTCTCCTACCTCCTTACCGCTGTGTGCACACACACCGGGTTATTTGGGGCCCAGGCTGGACAGCATCTATTTCCCGAGCCGGGGAGGGTATGCAAACATGTTTCTGAGTGTAGCTTAGATGTTTATTTAAGTCAGATGGGCTGCCGGAGAGTGGAGGCCCAGAGAGAAGACCCCACATAATGTTTTATAAAAATTCATAAATTACCAAAACAGTTGGCCCTTGAACAATGTGGGGGTCAGGGACACTGACCCCCTGGCTCCGTCGAAATCTGCACATAACTTTGACTCCCCCCAAAACTAAACTACTAATGTCTACTGTTGACCAGATGCCTTACCAATAACCCAAAGAATTAAGACACATTTTGTATGTTATATGTATCATACACTGTTTTCTAATAACAAAGGAAATTAGAGAAAATATTACTCAAAAAATCATAAGGATGAGAAAACACATTCCCAGGACTGTCCTTACTTAATGAAAAAGATCCACGTATAAGTGGACCCGCGACAGTTCAAAAGCCACTGTACTTAAAATACTGAGTGAGTTCACATAAAATCCTGATCTCCAGCCTTTCCTAAATATGGCAGGACCCAGGCCCACAGGCAGAACCCCTGCGCTCCTGAGCAGTGAGAAGCATCTGGGTATAGGAGCTGCTGCCCCCGACGGAGCAAATGCATCCTCGTGTGTCCCAGACCCCTCCCCGCTGCACGGCCCTGGCGCTCCCGCTGCCCATCCCCAACCTGCCTGACACATTTTGGCCTTTTGTGTGTCCCAGGGCCTGTTTCGTCCACCTGTGCTTTCCCACCGGCATCTAAGCACGCGGCCCCCGACCGATTTCATGTCCAGGAGTGATGCTCACTCAGGGCTGCCCTAACCGCCCGCTCTTCTCCCCACATGACTCGGGGTTTCCGAAAGGAGGGTTCTTTCCTCTTGTATCCTGTTCCCCTTGCAGTGAGTCTCTGGACACTGAGCCCACACTTCTCCCTCCTCTGCCTGGTGTCAGCCGCGCTGGCTTCTTTCCAACAGGACTCGTAGCAGGCCCACCGGCCACACTTCAGAAGCCCCCGCAAGCTGGCCAATGGCAGCACAGGCTGACCGTAAGACCAACAAGAAACCACAGGACACAGATAAACTCATTAACATGCTAGAAAAATAAAGGTAAAAGCCCAAGAGAACCTACCGCTACAAGGCTTAGGAAAACATTTGCCAGAAAGAGCCTTGATGGAGGGGCCGTGTGCTTACAGACCACTCTGGTCCCTCACCTGAGCTTCCTCCGTCCGCGTGGAGTCATTCCCCAGCAGGGGCTCCCCGGTGGGCGCCTGGATGGTGACAGCCTTTTCGGATCCTCTGCCATCTTTGCTCCGGGGTGATTTGTGCCTCTCTCTATTTCGCTCCCTGAAAGAAAAAAAACATCATCAGCTAGCACATTTATCCCATGTTAATTAACTCTCATCTCTTCCAAATATGTTGTAAATTTCACTTTGAATTTAGGAAAATTACACACACACGCACACACACTGGCAATACCCACCTACCGCCACTCCTCCTCCCCCACAAGGAGTAGGTTGATTTTAGCATTTTCTTGCTGCTATTCCAGGACCCCAAACAAAGACTGTTACCCCTCCATCAACAGTGATCATATTTTTTCACAGCCTAACTGGGAATTTCAGAATCTGTGGAGCTGAGGCACATTGTTATGGTAAAATGACGGCCTCGCTTTGGTTACAATTTGACTGAACTTGTTTTCTAGGCCCCGCCTCTGCCCTGATTCTGATTTTGATTGGGACAACAGTGCAAAATCGTCAAGCTTTGGTCTGTCCAAAAAAATCTGGGACACACTGTCACCCTACACCTTTTGGACAAGAAGAAAGGAAATTCTAAACCAGCACAGAGAATCATTTACTCCTCATTCCTACGACTTCAAACTAAAAGTCATTCCCGCAGGGTCCAGCTAAACTGAAAGACAGCCACAGAAACCAACAAAAGCTGGGACAAATGATGCCAAGGTGTGTGTGTGTGTGTGTGTGTGTGTGTGTGTTCAGGTGTCCAAAGGCCAGCAGGCTGCTGGGTGATATTAATCCCGGGTGGTCTCCCTGGGTGATGTGAGCACCTGCTGTGGGTCAGTCCTGAAACTGCAAAAAGAATCATTCACTGTGCAAACCTCAGAGGTCACAGCCTGGACATCAACCACCCCGACTGGGAACAGTCAACGCAACCCAAGGAGCCAAGAGTGAGTTCCCTCAACCTCCTGTCCACAGGCCGCCGTGACATCAGCCCTCCCTCCTCCAGCCACTGTCCTCACTCCCAGGTCTCCAGGTGGGAAAGAAGCATGGCACTGCTGACCCTGGGGACCCTCGGTGCTGCCCCTACTATAGCTGGGGTCTTGCACAAGTTATTCAATCTCCGAAGGCCTCCGTTTCCTCCTCTGTGAGATGGGGATCATGACACTACCACAGAGGTCGTGCAGGCAGAGCTGAGGACAGGGGTGTGGCGGTAGGTGTAGCAACTATCGTTATGGCTAGTACTCTTAGCCGAGGGCGAAGTGTGTACCTTGGCAGAAAGAGACGTAAAATGAGCCATCAACACACCCTCACACCCCTTCCCGCCCCCTCAGCACACCTTCCATTAACCTACTACTCAGCTAACAACACCACATGCAGGCGCCCTGTTCAAACTCCTACCTTATCAGGATGCCCGCCCGAGGATAAGCATGGGCTAAGGCCCTTCAAAGAGCTGGGGAGCTTCTGACTCTTCCATGATAGCGACTCTAATCTCTAAGTAACTTAAACCTATTATAAATCAGAGTCCAGCAATAGATGTGTTCTGGGCAACTCGGAGTTAACTGCATGTCAGCCAGGCAACCGGGGAAACAGCCCAGAGATCTGAGAGTCACTGCCAGTCACTCCGCTCCACGCCCACCCCACTTCTTAGAGCACTTTACTGAGTGCGCGATGGTATTAATGTCATTCTACCCCAACAATAACCTTGAGGCCAGTATTACTATCCCCATTTTACAGACGAGGAAACTGAGGCTCAAAGAGTTGAAGTGACTTCCCCAAGTCACAGTCTGTGGCAGAGGGGGATCGGAACCCAGGCCTGCTCCCTGCCTCCACTGATACCCACTACGCTGCACTGATCGGAGAAGCCTTTAGGAGATTTTGCAGCATGAACATTCCTACTGCCCATCCCCTCACCCTGTACCCGAGGAACTAGCACAGCTGTGAATATGCCTCTGAAGCTCCTGCTAGGAGTCACGACTGGGCTGTGGCCTCGGCCAGCACAACGCGGAGTGGGTGGCCAACATTCTGCCCAAAACAATCACTTGCAAAGGACTCACTGTGAGAACCATAAACAACCAGGGAGATCCCCACCTGCCAGAGTTAACTGCTCGACCGAAGTCTAGAACCACTGCTCCCAGAGTCCCCCGCCTCCAGGCCAGACCAGGAGCCTCCTGTCCGATTTCACTCTTGTTCCCTTTCCCCACCCGCTCTCATCTCTGTCGCTCTCTCTGCCATCAGCTATGTCACATGCCAGCCTCACCCATCCACCTGGTCGCCGGTCCCATGGGTCAAATCCTGCGACGGCAGATTCCAGCAGAAGCAACATTCTTCCACCGAGTGCGGCTGCCCCAGGCAGACAGCACGTGGGGAACCAGCAGGCTGGCAACACCCTCCCAGGAACCCGCCATCACTCCAACCGCACCCACCCAGCCTGACTTGTGAAGGCCCGACAGTACCCAGAGAGACGCGGCGGCCTCAGCAACTCTGGTCCCATCGGGGTAAGCCAGAGAAGAGCCATCTGATCACCCAGGAGGGTTTCTCATCCCAGAGCAGAAACCCCAACCCAGCGCTTCTCAGAGCCCAGTGCAGAGAAGCCGCGGGGTGCGGGTATGGGTGCAGACTTGCTGGCTCCACCCTCAGAGGATTCCTCTGGAAAGGAGACAACAGGAACTGCATTTTCCACCAGCGCCCCAGGTGACCCAGGAACCGGTCCCCAAGGCTCTCCCACCACCTGCCCCTGGGGAAGGGGCTGTTGGATAGCTGCTTGGAAGTCGGCCTGCCTGGGAAGTGTCCTGTATACAGCAGGGGCTCACTCATGGGTGTGACACTCAGCTGTCCGATGTCCCAATGTCCAGCGGCTGCTTTATTAAACCAGCACTAGGTGGAGGCGGCTGGGAGGAGGGATCAGGGCAGCGTGCGTGGGACAGAGGGACGCAGGGCAGCGGGCATGGGACAGAGGGACACAGGGCAGTGGCATGGGACAG